TGGCTTGGAAAGTCTGGAATTACTGCTTCTACTCAATTTCCACAATCAGTTTCCATTCTCTTTAGATTCTGTTGCCATGATGTGCTTGTCAAACTAAACCAGTGCGATATGAAACATGTAATGTATCGACCTTTCACGCTGCCTTTGCAATCGATCATTTGTTGAGTTGCACAATTTTCATTCTTTAACTAACAATCTTTCATTGAAAATCATTATCAGAAAACAAAACGTCGCAAAGGAGAAGGATTGAGTCATCCACCGGGTCACGCTTCATCGAAAGCAATTACGCTCCATCCGTTGCGTGTTGTTTTGCGGTTGGTTCACCCGTGTAATCCCAAGTGTAAGTTTTTATACACGTTTTAACTACTCATGAGTAGCCGTATTTAAAATGCGTAGATTGTTCATGTAATGCGCATGCTACCTATATTTTCTGAACCCGACTGTCATGACATCGGTGCTTTGCTGCTACAGCTAATTAGATTTCAGGCGTTAGTAATAAAATAAATGCGATTAACCAGTAACAGATTATCAGTTATCGTCTAAGCTTCCATTTATTTGTATAAAAACATCAAGAATATGGATTTGCATGATGTATCTGGAAAATATTGTTTATAAATTCTTACTTTGCTAAAGTTTGTAGACAATAAACCAGCTTTCCGATTTCCTATCTCAATGGTTTCGTCCTGAAGTTAATCCGGAATTGAAAGTTCTGAGTTTCAGCGTTTCTTATGAGTCTTCTTTATACACACCATGTTTTTGTGATGAAGACTCTAAGGAGTGATCCCCGAAATTGTATGGAATAAAACTCTCAATCACCGTTATCATTAAATTTCATAGCTAATTATAACCATTACTAATGTCTGCGCTTTTATTGAATCTGCTCATACATCTGATATCCTCCTTGATTTTCTTTTATGTGCTCTTCATGTGCCTTATCACTCGTTACTTTCTCACTCTGGTGTATCGACAGGACAGCCACCAATATTTATACACGTAGGTCCAAGATAGAGGGTTGTACGAATGAACCAACTGGGACACTCGTCGGTTTAACTTGTTCATATTTTTCACGTCTGCAAACTGTAACGTGTCATTACCAATTTGGTTTGATTTCAAGTGAAATGTCACGTTACCTCACTGGGCAATAGAGCATATCAACAAACTCTCTTCAGTTGGTAGCCACTTCTTCCCGATGGGCAAATATTTGGGGTGAATGGATGCTACTTGTGCAGAAAACTCACGCGGCACTTTTCATTTTGATAGAATGGTTCAGTGTATACACTACATTGGTTCAGATCGTCTTAACGTCATACTTGCTTCAACAATGTAAACATTGTGCCAAGAAAGTGCAAACCTGTTGTTGTAGTTTGCTCAACTAACTTTCTGAATCTAAATGAATAAGTCGGGGTCGATTACTCACACTTGTATTTGATATTGTGCATATTGAAATAGGCGAATCATGTGTTATATGTGTGCTTATTCGGGTTGGGAAGTCTCAACTGGTGGATTGACGAGCGGAGACCGAGCTAACCGTTTTCTTTGATGTTATCAAGGTCTGTCTAAGTGATTGTTGTGTAAAGGTGATCGTGATAGTCAAACAGTCTCGGTGGACACAACTGGTGTACTTCGAGACATGAGGCTTGCGGTTAGAACCCTGCTAACACGATCATGACTAATATCGAGCTTTGGCGATTGATTGCTTCTCTGTTTTCCGGTTCAATATCACACCTATCATATCTGAACCCGGTGTTTTGCTACTCTTAGTTCCAGCGGTTAGATCACCATTTCCCGAACAGTGGTTATTTATCACTGTGGAGTTCACCCGTTTTGCTATTCATTCCATTCAAATTGTGATGAAGGTTCACATCGCATCGTTCTACTGTGTTATGTGATCGAGGTGTTCCTTTTTGGAACGATAATAATAGTCTTATACCATCTTTTTAAAAATACATGATTGTGCTGATTACTTTCAGCTAGTTTAAGCTTGCCTCGGGACGCGGAGATGTGCAAAGGTTTGACGTTGGTGGTGATGTTGACCTGTACCGCGCATCACCATCATCGTCGCTTCATATCGGTTCCATTTTTCCATACTTGAGCTCATATCTCACTGGTCACTTGTGAACATCAAACTGAGCAGAGTTCGCTTGTACCGAAAACCATTTAATACTTTTTCCACATAAAGGTGCGTTCACAGTAGTTATATACCCGATTAACAGTTTTTGCATTTTAGTAACAATTGGGTTTTTTATCCTCGGCTACTCGTTACCCTACTATGAATTGTGGTCTTTTTCTCTGCATCTTAGCGCTCATTTTGATTAGTTTTTACTTTTTTCTCGGTGTTCAACAACGTTCCATGCTTTCCTTACGTATTTTGGTGCAATGTTTTCAGTACTGTAAAAATCACTGTGATATGGTTACTTAGTGAGTTTTACAATTTACAGACTGTTGGATGGTCCTCAGTTGTTGGTGAAAATTGTTTTTTTATCGGTCCCTGATCACTTAATTCGAAACAAAGAATAAACTGAACTAGAGTGGGTATTCAGTGGAATCGCCTCATCAACCATGCTGAAGACATGTGAGAGGTATTGATTAGTGGGGCTTGGGTACCGAAACACAGGTACTCTATCATCTTGGTTACTGATTAAAATCTTTACTTCTCAGGTTTACAAACGGTTTGTAAACAGTGTTTGTAGGTAGTTCAAACAAGACATGATAACCGAACATCGAGATCGTAGCTTATGAATGGTGTTACTTAACTGACGAAAATTAAACATGGATTGGTTTCAATAATTTAATATCTATTGTACCACGATTTATTTGGCGCTCCCATGCTCCAAAAGACTCTGCAATTGGGATATGTATGCACATCTAGACTATGTACTCTGTGTGCTTCCTATAGAAGTTCACTTTTCCCTCACCGTTCCCCAAATCGACCCCAATCCCTGTCCATCTTACATATTCTCACTTACTTTGTGTTTATTGTGAGTTTGGCGTTGAAGTTCGCATAACTAATTCACGGTATACTGATGGTGTTCATTTTGGATACAAATCGGTGTGAAAATACAAATGACTAAGAAGAAGTTTACGCTCACTGAGGCTTTTCGCCACTAAGCGGGTCTTTGGGTTGTGGACAAAAGAAAGTTAACGTAAATAAATGACTGAATAAATGATTATCGCTTCACTGGTAAATTGAGAATACTACCGGTTCCCATCTAACAAGCAACCCATCTACAGCACGAAATCACAATTGTCTTTGGGTTGGCGTGGCTCACTCGTTTAGTCGCTGCCACCGGTGTGCTTTGGACCTTATTGTTCGAGTTTCGAACCCCGCCACCCAACGTTGGTTGTAGGCAGCTTTGCTGTCTTCCGGTTCACTACCACGCTTAGCCTGGTGGAGGCCTTATATGGTTCGCCACTTCAAGTCCCGGGGCTTAGGTTGCTGGTTTCCATCACGCCACTTTGAGGTTCACTGTGTCTGCTGTCCATCACCCAAAATGTGTAATAAAAAACTTGGAAACGATCATGATGCTCACAAGCAGACGCACAAAGGCTTTAGTACGTAGTACTTCAAGGTAGACAGGTTCGGACTTACCAGTCTCGCCTACTTTATTTATCATAACAAACAAGCCGCTGGGACACTCTTATACTGCTTTAGAAGTCCGCACTGAATATTTTTTTAAAGACCGATCAAAAGTGTAGGAAACAATCACAAATCCATTGAGTGAAAGTCTGACGTTTCGTAAGAATGAGGATTGCCTTGATTGGCATTGTTCCCGGGGCGAGATAGGAAACCATCGCTATCTAGCTGTTTTCACTTGATCACGATAACTGTTGGTCAACCGTGCGGACTCCGCCAAAATACGGCGCTTCGCTTTCTCACTCTATCCGCATCACCTCTCTGTGTGGGATAGTCACTTTGTTATTGAACTGTTCCGGTTGTTCAGTAATGCGCAATAGTTGAGCGTAATCAAACCAGATGCCCCCGTTCGACGCGCTACACACACACACACACACACACACACACACACACTGGCCCTTTCATTGTGCTTGACAAGGCTTGACCATCTATCTGCGATCATTGTCTCATCTGTGGATTAATCTAAACAAATAGATTACTATTCACTCTGTTCTGTGTGCGTCTGTTTATTCGTTTCTTGTTCTGTGATTGTATTTTTGATGGGACCGTTCATTTACAGATCTCAGCAACCACCAACCCATTGTCGTCCTCTCTCTCTGTATTCACTCTACCGGTTTTCCGTTCTTCATAAGATCTTCGTATTCCATCTCCCCTCTCGACTCCTTTCCAAACCGACTGATTTGCTTTTACCCATTGTCTCCACACACACCCCACTCCAACTGTCCGATCACTCTTTCCCACTCTATCAGCCGCATGCGGAAAATCACCACAAATCCAATTAACTTTGTCGTTCGCTTGGATCGCTCATCTTGGTCTAGTCACCGTACGTATGCGTGTGCGTCCAGCTGAGCAACAATCTGCGCCAATTCACTCTTCTTCACAGTCTGTGCAATCTCATTCGGCAGACTGGGACGGTTGTGGTGATACCGTGCCACGTTCGATTTCGGGCAAGTAAGTGGATACAACACAATTTCTGTATTGGTCTATCTGTCTGTCCAAGGCTGTGTTGGGAAATCTTGCATCAGTGCTTACCTTCCTCCCTTGTACTAACACGATCATCACCACCCCCCCCTCATTAGCAGCAGCGTCATTATCTGTGCGTATCCGTATGCCATACACACATGGGTTTGTGATGTGTTCACGTGACCGACCGTGAATTAGCACCCGGGAAGAACCAAGGTTGATCAATTCATTTGAGTCGTTTTTATCCTTCTTCCTACATTATCATCTGGAGTTCATTTCATTCACCACTTGAAGCTACGATGTTCCGTTTGTAATCTTGATAAAGAGAACTTACCCCCCCTCTCTACCCGGGTTCCTTTGTACACTTTTCGGCTTGGAGAATACAACCCCTTGATTCTGTTCGGAATGTAAATGAATGCTTCCAATGAGAAAGCATCTACTTAGTCGCACCATGTCGCAACTTGTTTGTTGTCGGTTTTTTATGTATGTACAATTTCACTACGTGTCATTGATCACTAAGATACATTCTACTATTTATTATGGCTGCTTGATCTCGTTTGTATCTTGCCGGAGCGTTGTAGCATCACTCACGCACAAATTCTCCGGAGTTCGGTCCTGCATGCGAGTGTTTGCAAGTCTGTCTACGTTGACTGGATAGACTCTTATGTATTTCGGTGTTGGTCTGTTCTCCGAGCTGGTACAGTTCTTTGCAGACTAGGTAATAGCATTAATGCAATTTCGGCTGCAAAACGCCTGCAGACAACACTTCCAGCTCGATCACACCAGCACCAGCGTACGCATTCCGACCTGCAGTCATTATGCGCTATATCCAACATTTTATTTGAAATTTTACAGAAAATCTATAGTGAAATTGTAGTTCACAGCTGAATCTGTCCTCATTTTTGTTTATTCACAGAAATTGGACATTGTTTGTAAAAAATGTTTCATCACTTGCCCGAATGATTTTATCAGTCACGAATATGGATGCTGTGAATGTGCCGTTTGCGAACAGTTTGCCCAGGTTAACAACAATCAAGCCAGGTAGTCGACAAGGACTACGGGGACTCATTATTCCGACTGTTCAAAATTGTATTCATTCTACGGGGACACGCTATTCGGTAATTTGTAGTTACTTTGCCGTGTGCTGGTGTTTCGTAAATTATAAATTATTAAACTGCTAGATCACACAAATAGTGATAAAAAGTCAATTTTTATGCTGCTTAAAAAATCTAGTGGACAAACCAGAAAAGAGACTGAGTAGGTAGAGTTTTACTTCATAGGGAATCACGTTTAGCCCAGACGAATAGCATTATCGACTATCGATTCAATGAATATTCACTTCGTTTAGGTGGCCTGGTAGTAACGTTACCAAATCATCACCCCGGAAGACGTGTATTCAAATCTCCATTATGTGTTGTATGATAACCCTTTGATTGGCCGCCTCTGCCGTCCTGAAAGTTGTGTTTTAGTATAAATTCTATAAAAGTAAAAATGAAAAATTAGAAAGTGTCTTTTCGAAGCTAATTCCAAACAAAACGTGTGTTGTATCTCAAAAAGGGGAACGCCAACCACATTTATGTGTTCCGTTCAGTTTTTACAACCTTTAACCATACACTTTCGTGCGCCGGTTTTGGTCGCTGTCTTTGGTGTCCCATTTGGATAGATCAGCAGAATGAGGATTGGAATGTTGAAAGCGAATTCAAGCGGAAGATGGAGAATTCATATAGAATGGTGTTAGGAGAATAATGAGTGGATGTTTGTGACATTCAGCCGTATCACTCAGTGTATCTAGCTATCGGTGACCATCATTCCGAGGTCCCCAACCAGCGAGTCTAACGGGGCCTATGTGACCTAGTATCCTGGTTAGAGTTTTCATACCCTCATGCCAAGTCTTCGTTTGATCACCCTTGACCTTTTTCCAACTATCACCTGCCTCGGCAAATATCGCTTGCCGTGGCAACCTATTTAGTGACATGGGTAAAACATGCCTCAACCAAAGAAATCTATGGAGGTCCATCAATTGCTCCAGTGGACGAACGCGACTACCTAAAACTCTACATCTAATCTCAGCATTGCTCATCCAGTTACCCCACCAGACTCGTGCAATGCTACGTAGACAGCGATGTTCGAACACCGACAATCTACTTTTATCCTGTTCCCGTAATGTCCAAATCTCCGCACCGGCCGAACTGCTGCATCATACACTCGACCCTTCACAGACAACGGATGTCGCGACGGCGCCACAAATGTCTCAAGTTGGCAAATGCCAACCGAGCTTTCTGTGTGCGCGCCGACACTTCATCTATGATGCGTCCGTCAGGTGAGATGCAGCTGCCCAGACAACAAAATTTGTCTACTTTCTCCACTTCCTCCCCAGTCAAGGTGCTGGACCAAACCAATCTTGGAGCAACATTTTACACTTTGAAGGTGCAAAACGCATGCCAAACATGGCTACACTAGCACTCAAACTATCCAGAAAGCTTGTAACTTACCTAGATTTTCACTTATTAGCACAATGTCGTGTGCATACTCCAGATCAGACAATCTGCCACCTGGGAGTAAATCGATATTGCTATTCTCGCAGGAGGATAGGGCTGTTTCAAGAATTAAATCTATCACGAAATTGAATAGAAAAAAGGGAGAGCGCAACTCCGTCGAACACCACTTTCCGTGGTGAACTCGGGTGAGAAATTGCCGTAAGCTCGGCAATTATTATAGAGGGATTGTAATAGTGAAATAAACTTCTCTGGCACATCCTTTGGAGCGAGGCAGCGCCAGAGTTTAGAGCGGTCGGCTGTGTCGAAAGCCGCCTCCACATCGAGGAAGATAGAAATAGTGAGTCTACAAAATTAGTGTCTGTGTTCTAGAATTTGACAAAGAGTGAAGATTTGGTCGATACACCGTCGACCAGGTATGAAACCAACCTGGCTCTGACGCACACACCGTTCACGTGCGGCAGACCATCGACGGAGTGCAATATGTGCGAGAAGTTTCGAGACAATGTTGATTGAACTAATTCCTCTGTGGTTTTCACAAGAGGATCTGTCGCTTTTCTTGTAAATCGGTCTGATTACCGAATCACTCCATTCCGTTGTAACTTCTTCCCTCTCCCACACTGAGCACAGGAGTTTTGTCAACTTCGAAACCAAGGCTGAACCTCCATCCTTAAAATCCGAAGGGAACAGCCCGTCGGGGCCGTAGGCCTTATGCCGTTTGAGATAATTTATTTTATTGGGTTGAAAATGATGCCGCTTGTTGCACTCACCAAAATCTGGGGTTGTACATTTATTTGATGAGTTGCACACCAGTTTGCACTCTTACTGTTTCACAACTATCTTCTGCTAGAAGATGACTTGGCTTCCTGGATATTTACGATCGCAGCTTTTCATGAGTGGCTGTGGATGCAGAGTGTGATTCCATCACAATTCTGTAGCCGCACTTCGTAGACTGGGTGTAGATCTACAGTCAGTCTCGTGCTATGTCATACCCTTCAGCAATTCAAGAAAAATTGGTAAATTCCAGAAACTGCGACAGTATGTTAGTCAGTAATAGATGATATTAAGTAGTATGAAAAATCAATTGAGAGTTTTGTGACGAAAAAACCGGATCGATGAAAAGTAATTCCACGACTCATTGCCAATGTTTATAATTATATACTGTTTATTGATAACCGAATTAACGTTTCACGTAGCCCTTATGTATGGAAAGAATTGAAATCTTTTGTGATGCTTTCAGCTTTATATTAGCACAATGCATTCCGTGTTCAACCCTTTTTAGTTTCAAGCGTCTAGTTAGCCTGAAAGTGCTTACATTTCTTAAGGGAAACATTTTCTAACTCAACTATCGATATGAACTACAGATATTCCTTAATTCATTTGCAATGTTAGTCTAAGTACAGAATTGAATATATAGCGTCCACCAAAATATACATCTGTTTTAGCTATAGTAATCTCACCACATCATCAGTAACGCATTTGCTGACATCAAATTCACGATGGAGACGGAGAGAGAGGGACGGACATTTTGATCACCGGAACGCTATCAGGAAACCTGCAAACAATGGTCTACCGCGAAGCAATGCATACGGATCAAATCCTAAACTTCAAAAGTAATCATCCACACAGCCGCAAAAGATGCTATGTCAGGACCCCGATCAGAGGAATCCAAAGGCATTGAGACACGGGCACACTCAAGAAAGAAAGGATAAATAAATATCTTCAGAGTGTTTGCCTGCTACGGCGAACTCCTTGAGTTCTTCAAAAGAACTCGGACTTAAAGAAGGAAACAAACAGCAGACGGAGAATCCGGAACAAGAACAACCCTGTCCTACATCAAAGGCGTTTCGGAACTGACAGTAATACTCCTCAGATCGCACGGAATCCAGGTCATCCAAAAACAGATCACCTCCTTGCCAGAGACTGAATTCGTAGATGAAACCACTTTCGAAGGAAACCACGTAACCTAAAACAAGTGAAATATCTTTTACTGAGTATACTGAGTACAATGACTTCTTTACAAACTCCGATTGTTCTCTGTGCAGTCTATATTCATGATTTACTGGTGGAAAATGTGCCATTAGTGGCTGTAGACATCTATTCGTTCGTTTCGTTTCTTTTTCTTATTGAATATACAAAGATACAATTTTTCAGGAAGGGGGAAGCGGCCAATCAGAGGGCTGCCATACAACACACAAATGGGGTAAGTCAGGCGGTGGTGGTGGGATTCGAACACTCGTCCTCCGGGGTGATAATTTGGTGACGTTACCTCCGGGCCACCACCGCCCACGTTCGCTTTTGTTGTTGCTCGTATGTACCGTAACCGATTGATACATTCGTTTTGGCCAGCATTGGTCAACGTCGGTGCTGGTGTTATTACTCGTGACCACAGTGACGGCTTATGTTCAGTACGTGATGCGATGACGTGATTCACGAAGTAGAAGTGCATCGCTCAAACATAGCACGATGCTCATTAGATCCACTTGACTCAGGTCTGACGATTACCTTTGACGAGTGACTTGTTTAATGTCAGCTGTGATGATCATTCAATCATTCGCACAGGCGCGTCAGTACGACGGCGGTTATCGATCGGTTGGATCTGATATTTCACTCCCCCCTCCCGCATACCAGCCAAGTAAATCGCGCTCATCGTTCATCTGTTCGCGATGTTGGTGCGACGGAGCCCAATGGTCAAATGGATTTCGCTCCCTTCAGCGAGACAGTCGCAAACAAAACCATGGCCTTGGTGATCACTGTAACAAAAGCGATCACATTGGAGTGACCCACGGATTTGCAGACAAAACAATTGTAGATTACAAAGGTGTATTTTTAGCAGAATCATAAATCATCGTTTGCCTCAGCTTGGCCCTCCATTGGAAATCAACAAATGCGCTGTTTAAATCAATTGTACACTCCAGCAATCGACCCGAAATCCGAGTGTTAGCCAAGACAAACAGTTTCAATTGATCCAATAACCCATATGCTTTTCTAATTGAGATAACTTCCGACCCATTCGCTACTTAACATTCGTTTGCTTTGTGACGCTTAGCTTAGCAGCGGTGATAACTTTTCTTCAGTCATGCTCTCATAAAACAGCGTAGTGACCATTTCTTTGGATTTCCTTGATCCAGAAACTGTTTGTCCTTTGAGACTTGATGTTTATCCTAGGAGCTGCTTATAATACACACGGTCACCATATCCGGGGATCAACTGCACCAATCCCCGCTCGAAGCTCATCCACTGCATCACGGGGTACCGCCAAACTTTCGAAAAACCCATGAAAATGTGCCCAAGAATAGCTACTCGTCTCTTACTCTGTAAGATTGAATGCCATCAACCTGAATGAGTAAGTGTCAGGATCTGCGACGTATTGAGGGGCGATATTGCATAGTACGGACCTACGTTATTTAGGTTCCCTAAAATGTGGGAAGATTTTTGAAAATGCGACTTCTCATGGGTGCGACATAGCGGGAGTTTGACTGTAGTTGTTCCGACATTAACATGCTCGCCCATGTTTCCCAGATATGTCCTCAAAGGAATCGTCGGAATGCGATGTGTAGTGATATCTCCAGCACGGTTGGGCTTTTTATTCGTAGTACAATCGGATGCAAAGTGTAACAAAGCAAAGTACAGTCTCGCTAAAACGATTTTGAGCGTCCCAGTCACACTTAACCTGGTTTAACCCTCGTTTCAAACGAGTCATAGGGCTATGGTTAGGTGAGAGTTGACAATCAGATGGAGTAGCGCTCCCTCCCAAGGGTACACAGTATCCCTCCGTTAGTGGTGCTATTCCATTCTGTCATTGCATTTGCCAACCTGTCAATTTCTACATCATTCCTTGAAGACTTTCATTGTTCGATGATTCTATATTGTTTTACTCAATTTCACTTTTGAGCATTTATTCTCTCCTTTTCTATCGCTTTCTGTTACTCCTATCCCCACTTAGTGAGTTGCTCCGTTCGGAAAATCTCCTCTTCAATCTCTGTCCCACTACAGGCGGATCGGACGTTCCCATTTCAGATACGCCATCATTACCCTCGGGCTTATTGTCTGCACCGATTCAATGGGATGCATGTGAATCAGTTGGTCGCCCCTATTTATGGGCTCAACAGTTGTGTGGCTTGGTTCCGCTTCCGGAGCAGGTGGTTGTTTCGCCAACCACAGCGTCGGATGCGGCCGTGCTAGAATCGGGTTATGGAAGCACGCGATTCGGTCAATTGGATACATGGCTAAACGCGCTGATGGGACGTTTGGCTGGTCGAATCAGTTTATTGCGCGAGGTGCGTGTTTGTCATGAGAAGGAAAGACAAGAGGGTGCGGGTGGGGTTTGAACTCAGTTTAGAACTTTTCTGTCCTAGAGTGTTTGGAGTTTGGATCCGCTCAGGAATCAAGTGCTGCCTATGGTCTTCAGGGTGCAGATTTCAACTCTGAAGAGTTCATTAGTCCTTTACATGTTGAATGTTGTTGTTTTACAATGAAAATATTTTGTATGGTGAATGATTAAGAGCTGTACAAAATCAAAGTTGTTTCGTCCTTGTTGGGACTCACCAGTAGTGCTTACCCCTTGTATCTATATCAAATTGACAGTATTCAATATATAGAGGATTGATGAACCCCCACGGAGTGAAACCCACACCCACAAAGCCAAGAACACCAGGCTCATCCAAACAACCTGCTGAATTAAGATTGGCATTCGCTCCACTTGTTGACCGTATAACTCAGCGATAGGGGTTTTCATTACCAACTCGAAAATTTGCAGTTCGAGTTCTAACAGGGCGAAATGACTGTCCAGTGCTTTTCGATGGTCATCTTACAGAATAGGTCCATGCAAGATTTGGGTTTAAAACATCTAAACAATCCCACTGGACATATAATGAGAACACCAAGTGGCGTTCAGTCTCGGTTGTGTTTGTATTTATATGCTTATATGCTTACATTTCAGTTGAAAATATACATTGATCGTCTCACAGAATAAAATATACAGTTTCATATAATATGCACAGTGAAGAAGGTCGCTGAAGTTTGTTTCGTGTATAGAAATTCACTTTCGATCTATTCTTTATTTGTTAGGAGTCGATCCGATTAGGGTACCGACGATTTCCTATAAGTGTTAATACGACAGGGTAGATGCCCAAAAGGGGAACGCGTGAACGGATGAGAACAACAATAGTATAGATTGGGATGCAGTGGATGAAGACGGTCGTCTAGAATTTTGTTGGCAAATTTAACAAGACTTGATGTGACTAATGAGTTCTATGATTAATGCAACGATTGGGATTAATGATGCACGACTGATGATCACCTAACCACGACAAATGGTTCTGAATTCCTATTTTTAAAAGTCGGGAAACAATACAGGGGAGAAGTAGAGTAGAATGGAGTAAACGCATTGGTGAATGGAAGAGGGTAGGACTGATTGTGGGGTTATGAATAGCCCGGGTTTGCGTAACTGAAAAGAGAAGCTTCTCGGTTTTCCTATACAGTTGTAAATGTATGTAGACCACCGGAGATCACTGTTGATGGTTACACCGAGGTACTTGACCGAGATCATTCTGAACACAGGCTTACTGTCAAGGGTAGCAGAGTCCGTTGGAAATGAGAAGAAAGTAAAACTGAAGATACGCTCTACGCAGTTGGACGTGTTAAGACCGAGATCAGATTGTTTGGCACATTGTTGGATGTGGGATAGATTTTCAGTGAAATAAGCGAATTCCGACGGAAATGAAATCGTCTGAAACCAAGCGATGTCGTCAGCATACTTCTGGATGTCTGCTGGGGGTGGAACCGAAATGTCACTAATAAAAGTAGAAAAGAGACATGGAGATAGAACAGCACATTAAAGCACACCAGAATTACTACCGAGATGATGTATTGATGTATTCCTTCCTAATTTGGTGCACTTTACTCTCTCCATGAAATAGTCAGAAAGCCATGATGGCAGCCAAAAGATTCAGGTTTGAGAAAAAGGGATGATCGAGAAACAGAATCAAACACGGACTGAGTCAAGAAAACACGACGGACAGGCTTAGCCGAATTGTCCGATGACTGATAACTGACTAACTGGTGACTGATAAAATGATTCAAAGTTGATGCGACGTCCAACGTAGGCCTGCTGGATTTATATACAAACTGGACGGGGTCTTAGGGGATTTTATTTTTTATTTCATAACCATACCAATAGGACACAATATATACGACTAACTATAGATATTGGAGGGTAGGATTGTCTGCGAGAGAAGAGAGCATGGGTTGAGTTTGCTCATATTTACAATTTATTTGTTCTCCACCTAAAATGTTTTTCTTCGGGAGCCTATTCTTACTTGTCCCGTCGCTTGAGTATCGGTCACGTGTCGCAAGTTCGGCCAAGGGAGTCTAAGTACTTTCACAAATTGCCTTCGAGCATACTGAGGAGTTTGTGTTGGTGGACGCATACTGCCTCCGCTATGTCTAGATTGCGATACCTGAATTGCCTAAGCGGTCCCATTTTGATTATACAGAACTCGAAATGCTTTGGTCACATGAATAGTTTGTCAGCAAGCTGCGAAAGCACTACACACTTTACGCTCCTAATGGCCGCGCTTCTATGCTGCCAAAGTACGGTGCGGTCCCGAGAAGGATGAAAGCTAGGTAAGCCAAGTACAGCTCGTTGTTCAAAGGTAGCACTCTGGTACAGATTGCGCGCAGAAGACTGTCACACACCATAAATAAACCGATCCATGCAGCCATGTTCTAAACTCCATTTCGCCTCTCGATGAAGATGAGATTAGGAGAAGAATAACAGATATTTGAGGAAGTTAGATGTACATGGATTACCGACGGATGCATGCGCGCTGCTGCTTTCGGTCCTCCACCGTATCGTTTGGTCCCTTCGACGGTCGATTGTGCTGATCTGTTGGACTTAAATCGGGAAGTCTAAAGAGACAAATTTTTGATGGCAGACCCAAATCTGAATCAGTAGCCTGATGGAGAGGAAGGGGCAAGGCTCGATCGATTAATTGCATCCTGGTTGCTATTTCTTGTCGGATATGAATACTTGAAGAGGTGTCTGCTTCCTTGTGCACTACTAGGTATTCTACTTTACTTGTTGATCATCATGGTTCAATTTCTTACTTACTTCCACAAAACAGCCCCATTTGCTACGCACAATGAATTTCTGCTTTCTTTGTATATGTGGTGAACTTCACAACAATTAGTCAAGTTCGGTTCTTCGTATTTCGCTATACGGTGATGATGATGATGATGATGACCAATCACACAAAAGTCCCAGTAAGATAGAAGTAATTGCGATCCGTGTCACAGCAAAGCCATCTACCGCGGCAGAATGAAGTAATATTTACTGGTAAACTTATCATTTTCCTATTTTCAAGCTCACTACCCGCCGAATAAGCTCCAATTGGTTGAAGCGAACGAATACTCGACAAACTTTGGTAGGAAAATTCAGCGAGGTTGACTCGGACGATGTTATAAGATCACTCCCGCACCTGACAGGATACATATAAATTAATCTGATTGCATGTTTGTTTTGTGGAATTAAGAATATCATGTGGAAAATATTATTTATTTTTTGAAAGAAGTTTCTTTTCTGATCGACAAGGAGTACTGGGCAGTATTGCTATCCACATTAGGAGTCAAAGGCAGTGCCTATCATTTTTCTACCCCCTGCCGGGACTCAAATTGCAAAACTTAGAATATGGGAGTTAAACCTTTTAAACCTGTAGCTATGCGATCATCGGACAACATCCTAGAAGAATGCTTGCATTAATTTCATATGAACGATTTGGAGTTCACGAGTGATCGGTTGTGCGTCTGGTTTCTCCATCAATTTTGTTTATACGTTCAAGGAGTCTTTCGTTATTATTAACAATTATGATGGGTCAGTGATTTCGAATGTAATTTTAGTTCCCCGTTATTTTGGTACCTCTGCTTTCCCATAAGACTTCGTTAAAAAGTCTATTAGTTTGCCGGTGGTACGGTATCTCATCTTTTCCTCTTCTCACTTTCATGTGTTTTTCCCTCAATGCTTGTGATTCAGTATAGTGCCTTGTTTTGTCTTGGCATTTTTGTTTAGCTCGCTGCCATCGAAGCAGGTCAACCGTCTTTGTCCCCGGAACAGCAGAAACTCATTCCGTCGGTTGTTGATGTCCGATTGGCCAACTGGAAGCGAAGCTCATGGTCTGCGTTAGAGGTAAGTGGTCTTTGTTTGGTTACTTTTTCCATCCACAAGCCACATACGATGCCATTTTTTGGATTGTTTCTAGCTGTTTTACCAAGTTGTGTTCACATTTGACTCACAGTTACTTTTGAGTGGCGATGTAGGATAGGGGATATCGATTCGGACAGGCCATCCTTCAGGCTTGGTCTTCACGCACAATTCAGATCAGTGTTATCTATACCACGGCACTACTCACAAGTGACTGTGGATTAAATATGATTCAAATTCTAGTCGAGTGGGTTTCATTGTGATTAGGTTCTCTGAACCCAAAACTATAAGATCTGATGTGGTGAGTGGCTTTCGAATGGAGTCAACAGGCAATCAACCGTCTCTCCTTTCGTTACTATCCGGCCCAGTGAAAGGGCTGACTATCATTGACGTCTGCTTCTGAAGTAACTTCCATTGATTATTCTGATCGGCTGGTTGATAATTTGCGCGTACACGCTTTCCATGTGATAGGTCCGGAGTTCTAAAACCCGGATGAGACGGTGGATATGAATCCTGATGTGATTGTTATTTAAGTCTATTGCTTCCCAAGTGTATTCTTGACTGGATGAGCTGAGGACTTTTAATTGTCTTCATTCATTCAAAAATATATTCCCCTCATCGAAAATCACATATGAATCTGAACGTACTCGCCGTGAGTATGAAGAATGTCTTGTGCGATTGGTTGCATTTTTCCCAATAAGGGGAGGACAACAGAAAAACAAACATGATTGATTTGTGTTTTGCATACACACTGGTTTTTCCATACCTGTCCAGAATATCGGAAATGCTTTGGATATGTTAACGATTACCCTTATTTTTCTCCTCTGGTCACTTCATCTTTTTTTGCTGTTATGTTATGCTTATGACGTCATATATGAACGAATGAGCAATTCCATTTCAACAATGTGTTTTATATGAAATCCCTTCTCGTACTGCTAACTGTTTACTACAATTCACCACTCTTACACTTTCGGTTGCAGAATGTCCCTCGAGCGCGTAAACTGATTGCTTTAAAACTGATACAATCCACGGATGCCATATTTCAGTGTGAATTTCACCGCCCTGACCACAGTGAGTTGATGTTTTTTTGTTCTCTGAAATTTTCTTTAGTGTTGGTCTGTTAAGCAACTCTTTAGACGTAATAAAACGGTTTTATCAGACTTCATTTGTTGTTTCGATATTCAACAATCCTGGATTTTTGCACATGGTTCCAAGTTTTAGTCTCGGTAACTCTCTACAGCGACTACTGAAGAAGCTTCATTCATACCCCCTTGGTCTCCAAAGCTTCACACATGCAGTCAGATTAAGGTTATGCCGACTCGAACAGAGTTTACTTTAGGCGACTGCGGCGTACATGTGCTTCACTCCAGGGGAGAGTAGCACGTCACATGCACAACCGATTAACCGTCGGGTTCTAACACGGGTGAAATCAGTGGACCTGATCCAACAACTTAACAAACTTTGCTCTGGGGACACAAAGACCCCTAAGGTGGAATCCACTTTTCTCGAAAAAAAATCCAATTTCTCAAACGACTCCACTTTGTTCACCATCTTCACGTTACATTTCGATATCGTTACTACATGTAGGAGTTCTATTTGGTATTTTATAAACATGTCATTAGAAGTGCTTCCACCGAATTGAGTAGCAATCAGATCGGTCTAGTATTCCGCATTCTTTGTTACTTCTGGATTGCTTCTCACCCTCTCACCTAATAAAGATCCGCTGGTGTTGGATTACTCTCTCCCTGCGGCTAACAATGACAACCGCAACTCATCTTAATTGGTCGTTACGCTCGACACCATTGATGCCAATAGAGCCGATTCAGTTCCAGTTGACACAACCATTAACCCTGCACTGTGGTGCGACAGTTTCGGTTGCTTTCTCTCAGTTGTCTCTCTGTTTGACCAAAAGAGAACTAATTAGGTTAGAGCACTATTAAAATGAGAGTACACGAATCGAGTACATTAGATCCATGCAGAAAATAGTTAGCTGCACCACTACCAGTTTAAGGCGAAGATTTGAGGGGTTGACACATGCTTGGAAGGACTAATCAGATCGTGTCACTAGGTACTGCCAGATGGTTGACTGAGATCATTGGTGCTGTTGTATCGTCCAAGTTATCGTTATGGTGGCGCATAATCTGTATATTATAACCCTTATTAAAATTTCTCTACTCGAGAGTTCAATCGGAAAAGCACTTCTGAGATGCTTGGAGTTTAAGGTTGCGTTTTAGTCAGTGTCAGATCAACCAGATAAATAAATACCAAATACGCAATACACTTGATGGGGTTGACAACGTATGCAGTACAAATCCGTTCCTTCGCTTTCGTCCCAGTATGTGTACAGTTTCTGTCGCGAATGTGACTGTCATTTAATCCTACTTTGTCTCTTGCGAACAGCTTTTTCAGTTGCTCTATTCAAGGGCATTATAAATACATGTAAATCATCAACATCTGTTCTCTCTTCACATCATTCCGTCCGAACATTTTTCCAGTGGGAAACACCTAGAAGTCAAATAATCAGCTTTCTCTCATCATAATGGGACAACTACCCGCCGTCTCTGGACGTAATACCGCTTTAAAAGGTCACATACCGACTGCGTGATTTCTCTGTGCACCACCGTTATCGACACATCATGCAGCGTAGAGTTTTCATATGTTTACACACACCGTCTTGACCGATTTGGTATTCGCTATTCCCGAGGTTCCTTTGATCGACAGCTCCAAACTGAATGTTAACCTTTCAAAGACTTTTAAAGGAAGGTATCATGCTGTTTGCCTCCGGATCGTGCCTCAGTTAAATACCTCTTAGTGCATCCACTTACAGAGATTTCCAAGTTCTGTGGCACACTATCTCTGCTTTGTGTTTACGCCCGATGGCATACCGAAGGGAAATTCCACCGTCGCCATTTTCACCTGTCTGTCATAAGCACACACGTGCAGATCTCTTACCATATTGGTTTAAGCGATGGAACTGATTTATCGGTGGCGACTCAAAAGAGTAATGAATTCAAAGCTTATTGTTTCATAGATTTCGAGCTTTCGTCTAATTCAATGGTAAGCAGTTCCTGTGCCTTAGTGGCATTTGAATCCATTCATAGATGTACTCCCTACAATTTTGTGCAGTGTATGTTCTACCAGTTGAAATTCAAATTGATACCTGTGGTCTGATACTTTCACATTTTTTTCATTACTCGCATTTGTGTGATCAACAATAGACCTGCTGTTCAGTCACGGAAACCGGCATTCCAACTAAGCCCCAGGACCTTGGAGTGGCGAGCCACATAAGGTCCCAGCAGGTTGTGGTATTGAGCCATAAGACATCAAAGCTGCCTACCACCAAAGTTGGACGGCGGTTGCAGGGTTCGAAACTCGAACTCAAGCCTCGGCCTAAAGCACACCGATGACAGTGACTAAACCACTGCACCCCCAGGTTTCAGAGCCATGTGGACAATCAAGATAATATGTGAAGCGGTGGTCATACCAGGTTTTCCCTATCATAAACTGTCATCCAGCGAATGAGCTCCAGAAGAAACTATTGTTCACAGTTTATCGCTTGGCGGTAGACTCCATTTATTACTAGAACAAACGTGCCATGACATTCAGATCACGTTGTACTTGATGTGTTCATATATCTTTGTAAATTGGGTAAGTAAATAGATATAGGAATCTCAGAGGTTTTGGTTTGACTCCGTATTTCAGTTTAGTTCGAACTCCCACACCACGTCAAGACAGTGAGTTGGATCTCTTTGGCGTATGATTTGAGAAGCGCATTTGATTAAAGTGTGTCTTGACTTGTGTACGAAACGTGAGAAACTTGTACTGTTTGAGGGTGATTGGGGCGGGGATCGTGAATATGTTTGAGCCGTATTAAGATTTAAAATTTTCGTCATTTGATTGTGTAAAACTTCACGAACTCTGTCGAACATAATATTTCTGTAAGTCACTCATACGTGGTTTTATCCGCGGGGAGTGATTTCTCGTTGTAATCCGCGGTCAAATTTTGCTCACAAACTGTTTTTTTTCGGTATATATATGTATCCAATTTGTGAATGTCTTGCTCATACACGCACACAACATGCACCACCACTTTTCTTCTCGTCGGTTTTTTTTCCCGTTTACACCTCAGTCCCGGTTCCCGTGTGGGTTGCCGTATCGCCTGAATATCCCAACAGAGCACCCATTCTGGTTGTCGACAATACAAGTCATGCATCACCAACGCGAACCCGTTCGGAACAGTTAATGAAGTGGGAACTATCCGACCTGAATTTACAGGTATATAGCCGTTCGGTCACTCTCGTTCTCAACATAGAGCACATTCTTGCTCCGCTCACTGGTTAACCTTATTTATTCATCGTGATCTTCTAGCCTAATGTGTACACATAGTCGTTCTTGTAGTATGACTTCGGTGATGATGATCACATATGCGCTTCGCATCACCGATCCTCATTCCATTCAATCACGACGACACCTTGACGTGGTGTGATGGCTTGTGCACCTCTCTGACCCAACGAGCTATACGGGATGGCTTTCGTTAAACCGCAAATCTAATCATGCCTGGAAGGCCAATGGATAGAGGTCAGACGAAGTCCAGTCTCCTGGTCCTCCAGGTTGGGGGTTCGCCTGGAATTTGGTGTTTCAGTCGATAAAAAGCGGTGGAGGAGTAATTGATCTAAGTAAATGGGCTTCTACTTCGCTTTGCCCGCTGCCTTGCGGTCAGGTTCTTATCAGAACTAAAGCCTTTGGACGAGAACCCTAATCGTNTGCTTAGTGGCTGGACACCCTGGCAGTACCCGTCCATCAAACTCAAATGCATACACAAACAAAAAATAATCCCATACTGCATCGGTCGTCGTGCAGGATATTCAGGACCGCGCTGCCCATTGCATCAAGCGGGATGGGTAGTGGTAAGTGGGCTACTGCTCAGATATCCCAACCTTTAATTAACTCTTTGTTCTCTGTACCCAACCTTTTCCCCTTTCTCCCATCCCGTAACATTCCCTCAGACAACTTGTTTGTCACTCGCCAAAGTTCGTTGCCAAGTAGCTCGGTAAGTAGTTTACCACAAAATAGATTGCATATTCTGATGCCTCGTCCGCCACTGAATCTGGGGGCCTTCAATGTGAGGACTCTGATATAGGTAGGTCTGGCGCGGACAATGAACTCTTTGGGAATCGATGTCTGCTACGTGTCGGAGACTCGAATTCAGGATCCTAGTACTATATACCACTTAAGTGCACCGGGGTTGTCTTCGAGGTTCTTCCTCCGCACGTCAGGTGATGTCGAAGCCCGTTCGGTAGGCCAGCGTGGTGTGGGAATTGTACTGAGTGATACAGCCGAAGCTGCACTACGCGATTGGATCCCCGTCAACAGCCAACCCCAAAAGGTGTTTGTTCATCATTTCAGCGTATGTTCCGACCAACTGCAGTTCTGACGCACAAAAGGAAAACTTTTGTGATAAGCTCACCGAACTCATTCGGTTGAGCCGAAGCTCCGGTATAGTTGTTCTCGCAAGTGATTTTAACGCGCAAGTTGGAAAACTGAGCGCATGGTTAGCTTGCCTAGGTGGTAGTTGTGCTCGGCTCTGTCAGCAAACAGATAATGGCGATCGACTTATTCATTTCTGCGCAGATCATCATCTGTTCCTATCCAGCACCAACTTCCGACACAGCTCTCAACGGACAGCAACGTGACGCTCAAATTCTACTGGCACGCTAACTGAAATCGACCACACAGCAGTAAGTTAACGTTGGCGTGGCTCAGTACAAAACTTCAGGTCCTATTGGACCACCTGCGTTGAATCTGATCATGCGTTAGTTTTGATGCAGTTCACTCTCTAACTCACTGGTCGCAGAAGAAACCACCAAACTCGGTTGGCAGATCATCGCTTATCTGACCCAGTCCTTCATGCCCGTTTTGAATTAGAACCAGGGCAAGAGCTAAACGCACTGCGGGATGGTAGTGTAACTGAACAATGGGATCAGATTAGCCGAGCAATGCACTCCGCAGCGAATGTTGCTTGTGGATCTGAAGCAGTAGCCCGCCCGAGGCATTGGATATCTGATCAGTCAGTGGCACTGATGCGGCAAATCCCAACCACCCGGGATCAAGCCAGGGCTAGGTGGCGTCTACAACATCATCTCACGAGGAGCCTCATGAAAGATCGTGAGAACTGGTGAGCAACGATAGCTAGTGAAATGGAAGTAGCGGCTGCATCAGGGAATATTCAGACACTATTCCAACTGATACGCAATACGGAAGGTCGGCGAACTTCAGTTAGTGAAACCATCTGCGATAAAAGTGGGCAAGCTATNACAATAGGGAACAACGGCTTGACCGGTGGGCAGAGTGCTTCAGCGAACAGTTCAGCTGGCCAGGTGCTAACCAGGCTATCTCCTCCGATGTAGCCGAGGCTCCGTGTGCAGTGTCATCTGAATCTACTGCAGCAGACGTTCATTCTTGCATCCAAGCCCTGAAGAAAGGAAAAGCAGCAGGACCGGTCGGGCTTCCTCTCACTCTTTTCAAGATGAGGGTCGATGACCTCGTAGACTTCATTAGTGATCTAATGCGTAACATCTGGTTACACCAGCGCATTCCATCATCCTGGAGCGAATCACTGATCGTTCCAATTTCTAAGAAGGGATCTCGCAATGACTGCGCAAACCACCGTGGAATAACTTTGATCCCAATCATCACCAAGTTACTACTCTCCATTATACTTCGACGTCTGACACCGTTTGGGGAAACTAAAATCCGCGAACAACAACCAGGATTTCGACCAGGTCGCGGTTGTGTCGATCACATCTTTACCCTGCGTCAAGTCCTCGAGCTACGCCATACGCACCGTCGACCGACGGTTGTCGTGTTCCTTGACCCAAAAGGAGCCTTCGACTCAGTTGACCGTGAATGCCTTATGGGTTCACTTCTTCGCAAAGGAATGCCGCAGAAGTATGTCAACATATGGAGTTCACTCTACTCACATAATTCTGGTAGCGTAAGGGTCTACGTCGAGCTGAGTAGGTCGTTCGTCACAAGCAACGGTGTTCGTCCAGGGTGCGTTCTTTCGCCATTCCTGTTCAATTTCGTCATAGACGAAGTACTGGAGAACACTAAGTGGTCTCCAAAATGCAGGTATTGAATGGGCAGCTGGAGAAAAGCAGTGCGATTTGGAGTACGCTGACGACATCGTTTGCTTGTTCGAATTTATAGCGGATGCACAAAGAGCAATTGACAGGTTATCAAGTTCTGTCGCTCCATTCGGCATGTGCTTTGCACTTTCAAAGTGCAAAGTGATGCTACAAGACTGTGTGTCACCGAGTTCTGTTTTGAAACTAGACGGCCAGGAATTAGCTGAAGTTGACTGCTTCTCGTACTTAGGTAGCTGCGTGACCAACGACGGTAGCGCAGCAAAGGAGATAATCGCCCGCATTTCCAAGGCTCGAGCAGCGTGCGCAGGACTCAAACACCTTTGCCGTAGACGTGACGTGTCACTGAAGTTGAAAAGTCGCGTATACTGCGCCAATGTACGATCAGTTCTGCTTTACGGTTGTGAGACCTTGAATTTGCGGGTAGAAGACACCCGTCGTTTAGCAGTGTTCGACAATCGATGCTTACGTAGTCTGGCCCAAGTGGGATGGAGTGAGTGGATTAGTAACTTAGAAGTAAGTCGTCAGGTGTTTGGGAATACATCAAACAAGAACTCGCTATCTCATCGAATCCAGCTCAGTAGGCTCCGTTGGTTAGGACACGTTTTGCGTATGTCCGACGGTCGGCTACCGCAGCGCGCCTTGTTTGCAGTGGCTGTTACAGGTTGGAGAAAACCACGTGGAGGTCAACAGATGACGTGAAGACGAGGCATGAAGAAATGCACAGAGCGATTAGGTAGAGTAGGTGTCTCTCTTCTTCCGGGTTGGGATCCAGAAGACTCCGAAACCGCATGTTTGGAGACACTGAAGATCATGGCTGCGAACCAACAGCAATGGCGATCATGCTGTCACTTCTTATCAGTCCAGAATGCTTGAACTAGTATGTATGCACCGTTGGGTTGTGTACTCTGTGTGTTGACCATAGAGGTTGGCTTTCTTTTCGCGTCCCTATAAATAGACCCAATCCCTGTCCTCCTTACACATTCTCACTTATCTTGTATGCATTATGAGTTTGCCAGCGATCAGTGAAGTTCACTTCACTGCATTACGCTGTACGATGTGTGAGGTTTTACTCGAGCAGGCCTGCTGGGCCGAGAACTCATTTAGGGGGACTCTTTGGGCGTAGTGTCCGAGGCGTTACCCCGTTTTTGCAGTGCCTGGATGTTTTGTGGCTTACTGCACCTTCCAAGCTATCCCGCTCTTCCCCACAGAGATGACTTTCATTGTCATTCAAAATGCTGTACAGTGATGATGATGATGATGATGATGATGATGATGATGATGATGATACACTGCTCAGTGTTGGTTGCTCCCGATTGATTTTGCCCACATCCTGGACCGTTATCGATTCACGATAATTAAAACAGGTTGATCATCTTAGTTCGTGTTTTCCAAAATGTTGTTCGTAGTGACTCACCGCTTTATCGATCTGGTTTTCCACTTCTTCATATGTTGCTTGACCGTTGTACGGCAATTCATACCGGCTCTCTAGGTTCGAACGCGTTAGCAATAGGTAAATATCTACTATTCAGGATACGTTAAGAAGTTGGCTTGTTTCATTGAAGTTACGGGTCATAGAACAAATGTGCTTGACAGTTTTACGAGAATATTGGTATGCAATTGGCCTCATTCTACAATCAAACACATTTGTAAGGCAGAGTATCTGTGGCTGCTTTTGATCAGTTCTGTGGCCAGTAATTGCCTGTAATAAGTTGTTTATTTTGACTAAGACCACGTTCATTTCCTTAAAACATAATTTGATCCCCAAATCGAAGTTCCACGAGGTGTATTGTTGATCTCCATTCTTGAACAGTTTTTAATCTTCATTTCAGTGCGACACTTTTGGTTGCTGTCTTAATGGTCGTTTAAACTGAACCGAACTGAACTGTTAATCTTCATGATTTTAGAGATGAAAACCAAATCTTTGATAACAAAAAGACGTGTCTTTGCCTTGATAACGCTTCCTCCATTTAAAAGTGCTTTTTTTAATTCTTTCCCAAACCATATATAAACATTGTATTTGTCTGCAGTAGAGGCACCAGTTGAGATGCTGCGAAATCGTCCAGGACATCAATCGTGCAATGTTGCTATACTGGCTTATATTTTCAAACTTAAGAGATCACTGTTTCCACTGTTCATTACACGGTCAAATGTAATAAAATAATCATTGAACAGTCCATCCTTATGTGGATTGGCATCTACAGCTTTACTGAGGAATCAACCTCACGTGAACTGTTTGCACACATACAGATGGTCAGATATGGATCGTTAAAAAATATGAAAAACAGTTTGATTAGCTGCCGGGTGCTTAGTATGCTTGCGTTCTACATGGGAGGTGAGAGATCGTGAGATTCAACCAGCTCAAAGCAGTTGTCCAGTACTTCTTAGTTTTCAGTCCACTCCTCATTTGCTCTTTGCACGATGAAATTCACCGTACGGTTTTGAGATATCTTTAACGTCCATGCGATACCCGTGAAGGATGTAGTTTATGGAGCGGGTTTCCGGTTGTTTCTGCTGTTGCCAGGTGGGTCAAAGAGACACGTCACGGAAGGGAGGTAAACACATTGCTGTCTATGCTGCATTGCACGAGTTGGTAGGGAAAACTAGGCAGATAATACGGAAATTAGGTTCGAAGTTTAAAGCAATCACTGTCACGCACCAACGCGAGTGCTCCATAGAATGCGACATATGTTTCATTTGTTACCGGATAGACTTCTTTGGTGTGTGATGTTTGCGGAATTAGTTGGTGACGGAAAAGCTAAAGGTGACGATGACCTTGCATGAAGGTATGAGAACCTTAGCTAAAGAACGTGGTCAAATTTTGTTATATCAGGCCTTCTGGTTTGGGCCCCATGACCAATCTAATCAATGGTTGTACGCTGCGTGATATGTCAGAACGTCGAAACACTAGCCCCTGTATATTTGCCTACTCTCTGCGCGCATCACTTTGCTTTCATTCGGTATTATTATCTTAGTACTCCTTTCTTACGTTAATGGGTAGCCGAATGATAGTAGACAAAACCAGTGCGAGCCATGCACGCATGTTTTCCGCTTCCTCCAATGATAGATTGCCCATTTTCTCATTACACACACCATCGCATTCGGACGAGGATCATGATATCACAGTTTAGATTTGCTGATCTTCCATACCAATATCACCTGGTCTGTTTTCTGCAGTTTGTCAGTTTCACCATCGCATTTGTCTGTTTCAACCCATTCTAGGATTTGGAGGCTGAAGTCAACTGTTACTGGACGGAATTTTTTCCGGTCACCGGGACTCCTGAGCCGCCGGTAGAAGACTCGCCGTCTCCTTCTCCTGTTCGCAATATACTATCCTGCCAGCTAGCACGCTGCGCTGTTTGTTTGCATGCATTGAGTTCGGGCGACTCGGCCTCCATGGAGCCGGCCAGGGCAGTGCGGTAAGTTTATCTTTCATTGAATTTGCTGGCCTCCCTTCTCGCACATCTCAGTTGGGAAATATTTCGAAAGATCATGTTATAGGTGTCCTTCCGAAGTAGGTATAGGGGACTTTTAATTGTAATTGCTTCCTACACTTGCAACATATCCTCGGCGTTCCGCCGAATGGTTCTGTATTATCATCTTGAACTTGCTGGAAGCTGCTTGCATTGCGTTGGAGAATGGGTAACGTGGTAGTAGGTAGCGAATTAAATGCCCGGGCATTATGTTTGGTCGCATTAACTCACTAGTTTATGCAGAATCATTGTGGAACACTAAGACAGCTCCATATTTGGCTGGTATTCCCACGATTTCTATGGGTGGTTCTCAAGAAAATCGCTGAACTGAGACCAGTTCCATCGTAAATGGCATTCGTGATCCAAAATTTAATTAACCAAAATATACGCCGAAACATTGAGTTGTTTCCCAGCGTCGGCCTCACGGCTATTTTTCTGATTAGATAAAAGTGCAACCTGGCTGTTGGGAAGTGCCTTTGCTTTAATCAATAAACACATTGATACTAAGACTGGAAAACCATGAGCCAAAACTAAAAGCAAACTAAAAACTACTGGCGAAGGCTAAAAACTATAAGTGAAGTTTAAAAAGCCATGAGCAAAGAATGGATAGCGACGGAAGTCACAGTAGTTTTTTTCCGATAGTCATACTTGGTGATATTTAGCGGTCATTGAAAAAGTTTCCTACATTTATGAACATTCTTGATAAAAATTCCTGTGTGAACGGTTTCTTCGACTGACTGTTTTTTGAAGTTCACTGGACTTGTTGTAGATACCAAACGGCACCATTGCGGAACTTTCCATATGCACAGATATTCAAGAACCAATCGCTGAACCTATCGAACGGTCCTAGCTGAATCTATGCTGCTTACTGACAACAAGTGCGCAACCTTCCAGAGTTCCCGGAGGAATTGCACGGAAAACGCGAGTATTGTTCAATTGTAGGTTTGAATAAAGTAGGGCAGATGCTTCGAATCGATCATACTGTCCCACGGTCGAGAATGAGCAGCCTAGAATTTACTGCAAATGTCATCTGCGCCGAATTATGCTCATGTTTCTGAGAATGTACAAATTCCAGATATCTCATTTTCGTTTGATAAGGAATGGTGTATGTTACTTCTGGACTAAGATCTATCGTTGACGATGATCCTGAGAGCGTTTGTCGGTTGGTCACGGCCTTGCATCATTTATCTAGATTCTCTGTCCTCGGGTGACTAAGTTTCATCAATATGACATTCTGGGATTGCACGCCATAGACCATCAACTCATCCCACCCTACCCTCGTACTTCCTGTATTCAAATCCCGTCACCGTGGACATTTTTACCACTGGTTTTCTCTGGCTCTGTTTATTGATCATAGTTGCTCTTCTCAAGTTAATTGCGCGTTCGTTATTTACGGAATGTGTTATTTTTTGCTATTACTTGTAGGATATTGCATTAAAATTAAGTGTTATTCTCCTGATTCAAAAGCATTCTCGTTAAATCTTGTGATGCAAAAGTCACTTGAGGTAATATTGATTCGTATGCTTAATTTATATCTTCCTGACATTCGGAAAAGTTCCTCGTGTACAATACTGATTTCCCTTCGTCATCTTTATTTAGGTATCCTACGCGTAGCTGTCCACTACGATATCTACCATCCTTGGGCCTGTTTATGCATCGTTGAAAAGACGGTCCTCAGGTGCTTTTTGATGATCGATTTTTACCGTCAACCTCGTCCGGATTTGGGATTCCATTTCGTTTCCGGGTGTTTTTCAATTGGCTTCATTCAAATACAATCTCTTAATTGTTCTAAGCAATCACTTTTTTTTTCTTATGGATTTGCATCATGAAATTACATGAAAGCGTGTAAATTGTTATTCAGCTATTAAATTTAAAAAAATTATGGTGAATGTAATCCGAAGTTGAGGGAATAAGCTGTGTTTGTTTCGTACGATCAGAGTCCTATCCCCAAACATGTAAAATTAAAATACTACCCTATGTTGACTAGAGTAACCTTGTCCACTGGTTTGAGTTGATTATGCGACTGCAAGAGTTTGCACTTCATATCGCGCACCACCGATGTTGTTTTACGATATAAAGAGAATTTAAAAAGTTAAAGTAAGTTAAATAATACCTCAAGCCTTGTCCTGTTTTCTGTCACTGAATGCTTCCGAATCCCCGGATGCGGTGTCTCCCTGTTCACTGACGACCCATGTAAAGCCCTCACAGATAAGTTCATCTCCCTCGCTGCTCATCTTGAATCCATACCAACATCAACAGGGGTCAGGTATCTTCGCGTCAAACTATCGTGGTCCATGTAAGTTCACGATACATTCCTGGAGGGTTGGCAATCCGCCCTACTTCCCCTTCAGGTTGGAAACACGTTCTGGTCCTCACAAGATGCTTACTGACAGTGTGAATGCTCGCGTTCCTTCCCACTGATTATGTTCGTTAGGCTGTCAAAAAGAGGACCTACTGGGAAGACCTCAAAATCCAGTGGCATGGCCAGTAACACACTTGCGGACTCTATCACTATCAAGTTCCTAAGTACATGTGGAAATTTTATTTTCAAAATGCTCACCATTCACTACAGAACTTTCAGAAAAAGTATCTTTGTTAACCGCGCGCCCAAAGTTTTAAATCTTATTGGCCCTCATTTTTTTTTCAATATCTCGCACGTCTGCTTGTTGATTGAGAACAAATTTCCGCCGCATGGCTCAATTGCTTGCTTCGTTGAAAAAAAGCCGATGTCAGATTCACGTGTGGCGTAGAAATGCTGAAAACTGATCCGTCCGAGCAACTACTGTTCGGTACCCTCGGGAGTTGGGTCAAAAACGCAAAGGTGGTGGTTACGATCAAGAGACGTGGCCAATGTCAGAAATACGTAAGCAATCGTATTTGATTCA